TTAAAAATTCTAACATTCTCTTTTTAATTTTTTTTTAAATTCTAACATTCTTAAATAAATGTTTAAATTGGTCAATGGTGTTTTAAAAATCTATTTATTTATTTTGAGACATAGTCTTACTCCTCATGCAGGTATGGCTTGGAACTCATTTTGTAGCTCAAACAGATATCAAAATAGAAACAGTCATCTTGCCTCAGCCTCTAGAGTGCTCAGATTACAGACGGAAATCATTGAACACTAACATTGCCATTTTTTATTCTAATTTTCAGCATTGTGGATTGGAAATTTTCCTGTGATTCTTGCATTTCCTCATTGATATATTTGACTTAGGAAATATTACTTTCTCCACATTAAAAAAATATGTCATATTGTGGTTTCTCCAGCTGTCGTAAGCTCAAATCTTTTGTGAGTTATGCACCACCCTCCTGTTTTAGTGTTTCCCAGATTCAAGTTTTGAACAGATACTGAATGCTTTTGAAAAAATTGAAAAAGGAGACATACATCTACCCAGGTGATTCAGGAATAAGAGCAGTCATCTTGAGACAGACAGTATTCTCCCACCTTGGTACTTCCTGTTCAATGACAATGTCTCTGAACTCTGAGCCAGTCACATCCATCTCACAGTTTCTTAACCACTACTGATCAGCAAACTATTGATTATAGAGGTTTTTGAATAGCTAAAAGCTATGATTGCGGCACAAAACTGAAGCAGAAATCAAGAGCAAATTAAGGATCATCACACAGTTGACAAAAGTGAAGAAATGTGTTCCTCAGCTTTGCTGAGAGTTAGCATGGCTGGAGGTGAAATCAAAATTCACAGGAATCATCCTCAAGAACTTCATATTACAAGTACACAATAAACTATGGTGCAGGTCACAGGCTGTACCCTCCTCTGCCTCGTGAAGGACACAGAAGTAACAATGGCATAGACAGATAGCACTACTATAGCACAAAAGTGGAAAAGGTTTAGAGGATTTAAAAATGAATAAAACGACTCAGAAACAAAGAGCATATGCAGGCTTAAAACAAAATTCTGAAGATGATTTCTTCTAGGCCAGGAGCATATGCAACTTATTAGACATCATTAAGTGCCAGCAACAGGACTCTGTGGGAAATGTCACTTGCAACTAAGCCTGACATTAGTTTCATTCTTAGGAACCACATTAAGAAAGAAAAAAAAAAACCAGACTCCTTGCAAGTTGGCCTCTGCCCTTCATGTGTACAGTACGGTACAGACATTCACCCCTTCCTACACACACAATAAATAATTATAATTTAAAATATGAAAATAGCCTTAAGTCCACCATAATTAATTTCTTTTGATAGTGATTAACAAGATTCTAACTCTAGCTGTATATGTAGAGGAGGATGGACTTGTCGGTCATCAGTGGGAGAGGAAGGCCTTGGTCCCTTGAAGGCTGGATGCCCCAGAGAGGGGGAATTTGAGGGTGGGGAGGTAGGAGTGGATGGCTAGGGGCACACCCTCATAGAAATAGGAGGAGGGAGGATGGGTTAAGGGCTTTCTGGGAAGGCAAAATGGGGAAAGAGGATAATATCTGAAATGTAGATAAATAAATTACCAAATAATATAAAAGAAAGCAAAAAAGAAAAATAAACAAACAAAAAACAGATAATGGAACTGGTTATCGCTGTCGAACATTTGAGACTTTTTAGCAGCAATTTAACATTACCCATATTACGAGGATTCCTTATAATTGTCAAGGAGAACAGACTGTGGAACTTTAAAACAATATCTTCACAAAATAAAAAAAGGGGAGATATATCCACGTACACCACAAATTTATTTAAATCATGTTCTTTTTATTTTTTATTTTAAATTTAAAAAAAAATTTGGATGCCAAGGAACTTTCTGCTGAGTGTCTATGGCACTCTACAACTAAAAATCTCTTCTTAATAACTATGACTGTATTTTATACAGAGTTCTGTCCCTAATCTGCCAGACAGGGGCTTTTTGTAGCTCTGGTTGATCTGTAACTCAAAGTGAAGAACAAGCTGGCCTTGAATTTAGAGACCTGCTTACCTATAACTATCTCCTAGTGCTGGAATTAAAAATGTGTGTCAGCAAACCTGAAAATTCTTTCTTAATGTTTCCATGCAAATGAGCTTCAGATAGGAAATAAACATTATAAAATTTAAGCTTGTGTTCTGACTTCAGCTTGACAGTGTTATCTCTCTGTAGTCCTTGGTTTCTCTCTGTCCTTATCTTCACAGGTTGTTTCTCTCTCTCTCTCTCTCTCTCTCTCTCTCTCTCTCTCTCTCTCTCT